AAATTAATGTCTGATATTTACAGGCTCCTGCTAGAGGGTATACTTGAGCGTTGCGATCGCGAATTGTTGTTCTAAAGTATTCGTTGACTTCTTAAAAACCCGATTACTGACATGGCAGAACCGCCTTCCAAAAAACTTTGTATTTTGTCAAAGAAAAAGATATTAAGAGATTCTCAAAGAAGAAGGAGGACCCAAGAAACATCTGAAGAACGCGGAAGAAGATTAGAAAATAGTCGTGTCTCAACCAGAAATGCAAGGACTCGAGAAACATCCCAGGAACGTCGACGAAGGCTAGAAGAAAATCGTACTTCAACATCCCAAGCTCGACTGCAATGGTGGCAAGACAAGGAAAACCCTGCATTTATGTACAACCCATCTTTATGTTATGCATCAGATCCATTGATAAAAATTGGTGGAATGGCAACAGAATGCATTTTTTGCCAGGCAATAAAATGGAAAGGTGAAACACCAAGTATGTGTTGTAGCAATGGAAAAATTAAGCTCTGTGAACTTCAAACACCTCCTGAACCTCTACTGGCATTGTTAACAGATTCTTCAATTGAAACAGTACATTTTCAAAGTAACATCAGAAGATATAATTCATGCTTTCAGATGACATCATTTGGATCTGGGAGTGAAATTCGGGAACGAGGATTTATGCCTACTTTCAAAGTTCAGGGACAAGTGTACCACAGAATAGGAAGTCTACAACCGCAAATAAATGATAAGCCAAAATTTCTTCAATTATACTTTGTAGGTGATCAGGAAAAGCAATCCGAACAACGTTGCAGGAATGTTTTGCTAGCAAAACAAGCATTAGTTTCAAGTTTGCAAGATATGTTGCATGAACACAATAATTACGTGAGAAGTTTTATGTTGGCCATGGAGAAAATGAATCCTGAATTGAAAGTTATAATTCAGGCAGATAAAACACCTGTCGGTCAGCATGAAAGACGATTTAATGCTCCAAATACATCGGAGGTGGCAGTTATTCTTGCAGGTGATGAGCAGAGATATGGCAGGTGTGAGTAGCAGAGAATAGTATTGGAATTAAAAAGTAATGAAATTAAAAAAATTGCAGAAACACACCGAGCATATGGTGCATTGCAGTATCCTTTGATGTTCTGGCAAGGTGAAGACGGCTACAATTTTGAACTAAGGCAAGTAAACCCAACTACTGGCTTCCCGACTTCTAAGAAAATTTCAGCCATGGATTTTTATGCCTATCGAATTATGTTACGAGCAGCAAATTTCAATATTATTTTAAGATGCAAGGGACTTTTTAATCAATTTATTGTGGACATGTTCGCAAAAATTGAATCTGAGTGACTGAGGTTTGTACGCTTGAACCAGAAGAAACTACATGTTGAAGACTATGTTCATCTCAAGGATGCCCTAAGCAAAGACGGGAGTGTTCATGATATTGGTAAAATGGTAATTATACCTTTTACATTTACTGGTGGTCCACGCTACATGCATGAACGAACTTAAGATGCGATGACATATGTTAGAAATTACGGGAAGCCTGATTTGTCTATTACATTCACCTGTAATCCCCAGTGGCAGGAGGTTACCAATGAATTAATGCCTAGGCAGAGAAGTCACGATCGACATGATTTGCTAGCAAGAGTTTTATATCTTATACTAAAAGCTCTTATTATTCTCATCAACAAAGGAAAAGTATTTGGCTCTGTTCAATGTTTTATGTACACAATAGAGTGGCAAAAACGTGGTCTCCCACATGCTCATATCTTAATTTGGCTGCATGAAAAAAATCCATGTTCATAGCATAGATAATGTAATAAGTTCAGAAATACCAGATCCAGAAATTGATCCAGTTTTGCATGATGTTATTAAGACACAACACAAATGATACATGGCCCTTGTGGGATCCTAAATCAACAGTCTCCTTGCATGAAATATGGAAAATGTACAAAGAGGTACCCTCGAAATTTTTTGAAAGAAACACAAACAGGGGAAGATGGATATGCCCTGTATCGTCGACAGAGTCCAGAGGATGGTGGTTATACGGCAGTTAATAAAGAACGGAGTTCTGATATTGTTATTGATAATAGATGGGTAGTTCCTTTTTGTCCATTGTTGTCAAAACTTTTAATGCCCATATTAATGTGGAATTTTGTAATTCGATAAAATCTGTAAAATATGTTGGCAAATATGTAAACAAAGGATCTGATATGGCTGTGTTTAACATTGCCAACAACGAAAGTATGCATGATGAAGTACAGCATTATGAAATAGGACGATACATCAGTAGCAATGAAGCAGTTTGGCGTATTTTGGGTTTCCCTATACATGAAATGCATCCTACAGCTGTTCATTTAAGTGTACACTTAGAGAATGGCCAGCGAGTTTACTTCACATCAGAAAATGCACGGGAAAGAGCTCAAGCTCCACCAGCCACAACACTTACTTCTTTTTTTAGCTTATGTCAAAACGATGATTTTGATCGCACTTTGTTGCATAATCAGTTGCCGAAGTACTTATACATGGTCTGCAAGCAGCAAAAAGTGGGTTCGGCGGAAATCTGGTCAGATAGTATCTGAAGACCCAGGAATTAAATCAAGTGATGCACTTGGTCGCGTCTACACTATTCATCCTAACGATTCCGAATGTTTTCATCTTCGACTTCTGCTTCATGAGGTGCACGGACCTACATCTTTCAATGACTTAAAGACTTTTGGAGAAATAAAATGCGAAACATTTAAGCAGGCTTGCCAGGTAAGAGGACTTCTTGAAGATGACTCGCATTGGAAAAGCACGTTAGAAGAAGCTGCTGTTGTTCGATCACCTGAAATGCTGCGTAATTTATTTGCAATTATGTTGTAAGCATATTCTATTGCAAACCCTCTGGAATTGTGGAATTTACAAAAAGAAAATATGGCTGAAGATGTTTTGCACCAAGCCACGATTAGAAGTACTGATATGGATTTAAATTATGATGATGCCATCTTCAATCAGGCATTAAATCTTCTTGAAAACAAGGTCAAAGAATTGGGTGGTTCTGGTTTAAAAACTTATGGACTTCCTTTGCCACAACAAACAGATACCATTGACTTAAACAGAGAAATTTTGAGGGCAACAAATTACAATACAGATGAAATAACATCATACATTGATTCGAATGAGCCAAATCTGGTTCAAGACCAGAAAGAAGCTTTGGAGAAAATCTTATTTGCTGTGTTTAATAACGTCGGTGGAATATTTTTTGTGGATGCAACTGGTGGAACTGGAAAAACTTATCTCATAAATCTGATTTTAGCAAAACTGAGACAAAGAAATAAGATTGTACTTGCTGTTGCATCCTCTGGTATTGCTGTAACTCTTTTGTCTGGTGGACGAACAACTCATTCAGTGTTTAAATTACCTTTAAACTTATCAATCGTCGAGCATCCTACCTGCAATATTTCCAGAAGCTCACACAAAGCTGATGTTCTTAGAAGATGTAAACTAATAGTTTGGGATGAGTGCACTATGTCACATAAAGTTGCTTTAGAAGACCTGGATATCACTATGCAAGATCTTTTAAAAAACAACAAGTGTATGGGAGGTGTAACTTTAGTTTTATCTGGTGATTTTCGACAAACACTTCCTGTAATACAACGTCGGACAAAGGCAGATGAAATACATGCATGCGTAAAGTCATCTTACATTTGGACAAATGTTCAAAGACTGTGGCTGAAAACAAATATGCGAGTTCATTTAACAGGACAAGTCTTTGCACAGGAATTTGCCAACAATCTTCTAAGACTTGGAAATGGTGATATTAGTGGCGATGAAGAAGGGCTTATAGATGTGGAAAATATTGAAAATCGTGTTGCCACAACCGACGAACTGAAAGAAATGGTTTTTCCTAATATTCATGAAAATTACTGCAACCCTCAATGGCTATGTGAGAGAACTATCCTTTCTCCAACAAATGATATTGTAACAATCTTTAAAAGTCGTTGGTCTTGACAAGCAGAAGCCTTGTTTTTCACATGGACAGCTTTATGTTGGCTGCTCAAGAGTTGGTGATGAAAAAAACTTATATTTATTGGCACTAAATGGAAAAACTAAAAATATTGTTTATGAAGAAGTTTTACAAGAATAGGAAGAATTATATACTATCTGTATGCTGACTGACACAAGTTTTATTTTATTGCTGTTTCTTAAATATGTTATTAACTGCGTTTTAATTTTCAGCTATTGGCCAATGATGATTTCGAAAGCAACTTTTGTATGCTTTTACAATTTCTGAGGCCTTTTTCTTAAAAAAAAACAAGTCTCCATAGTTATATTATAGGTTAGGTTACCATAGGCCTAAGGTTACCATGGCAAAGTTACATCTTCAAACATCCTCAAGAGCTTTAACACATCTGCAGCAGAACTGGATATGAAGACAAAATTGCAGGACAGGAACACTTTAATTGTCCATTTATCCTCAGATTTCCTGTTATGTTTTAAAAAACTTTATTTGTGAAAACCTTTAGCGTGGCGGACAGCTGGCCGCCTTAGGCGGCTAGTTGTAAATAAAAAGGGATTTTTAGCAAAAGTTCACCGTTTTCAAAGTCGAATTATGTCAACTAATTTATCCATTAAACTACACAATAGTCAAAATCAAAAGGTATTTGCCGAAATATTTTCAACAAGTGTATCTCGGTTTGAAGAAAATTGAAAATTTTTCCGAGTAGAAAAAGAATGTTTCACGTAAGTAATTTAGTTTTTTCTTCTTTACTTCATGGAGTGGAATATTATTTTAAAACCAAATTCTATATTACAGTAAAAGAGATCTGTTAAATGATTTATAACTTAATGATCAGCTTTATGCACAATGAGATGCAAACAAAAATAATCTTTAATATTTCAGCCCACTTGGTAAGCGAAAATTTTAAATTACGGTTGTGAACTCATCAAATTTGTTTGAATTATATATTGGTATAACTATATATTGTTATAACAATTGTCATTTTAAAAAATTATTTCTAAGAAAAATTACTTCTTCTTACCAATAGATCTAATACTAATAGATAATAATATTTGGATGTGAGAAGTAAAGGCACAACTAAGCAAACAAATTTCCCTTACTACATTTCATAAAAGTACATTAATACTTCCTCATTTACTACATTTGATAGAGTTAACATTATTCACGATTAGTGGATAATTTTAACTTTAGTGGAAAAATTGCGTTATGCCAAGAAACGACAATAATTGCGAAGCAACTATCGGGATTGGTGAGCGGAAGCGAGCAGGGAGCATATATATATAT